CTTCTTCTTCTTCTTCTTCTTCTTCTTCTTTTTCTTCTTCTTCATTACGAATTTCTTCGCTTAAAGAAAGTTCACATCCTAATGGTGGTGGTTTGTGTTTCTGAGACGTAGAAGTAAAGATTTCGTTCTCTTCTTCTTCTTCTTCTTCTTCTTCTTCTTCTTCTTCTTCGTGACGAATTTCTTCGTTTAAAGAAACTTCACATCCTAATGGTGGTGGTTTGTGTTTCTGAGGCGTAGAAGTAAAGATTTCGTTCTCTCGTTCTTCCTCCAGTCTGCGCTTTTGTTCACTGCGCAGAGCAAGCAACTCATTACGAATATCAGATAACCCTCTTTTTGCTTCTTCAAGCTCAATTTCATATTGCGCAATAATCTCCTTGTATCTCTGTTCTGTCTCTTCGTGGAAGCTAGAAGAATAACAAACTCCATCTTTCCATTTCATCAACTGTGAGTTTATTTCGAGGGCGTCTTTTAGCTTTTCCTGCAGCTCATCTATCCTTCTATCACTCTCGTTACTGAGCTTCTCATTTTGCTCTCTCTCTTTAGTGAGCATTGCTTTTAGCCATTCTTCGTGATTTTCGGCTTCTTCTACTATGCTTTCTTTCAATTCACACAGTTCGTGAAAACTTTTTTCGAGCTCGGCTACTTTGTCCTCAAGGATGAAGGAGTTTTGCCGCTCTTGTGTGAGTTTTTCAGAGAGAACCGCCAAAGACAAGGAGATTTCGCATTCCCTAATGTTCTTTGGATCTTCCAGTTGATTGAGGAGGGCATCACTTAATGAACACTTGGATAGCTCTAGGGCTTGTTCGTGCACTGCTCTATTCATTTGTTCAATGAATTTTTCACGGAGTTCATCTTGTCGCGACGCTTCTTCATGCTCAGCATCAACCATTTCTTCAAAGATTTCTTCATTAAGAGAGCTTTGTGAAAACTGCAATACCTGTTCCTGCTGCGCTTCATCGCCTTCCACACTAAATTCCTCACCAAGGGAACCGTTGGAAGACTGCAAATCTCTTTCCTGCAATGCTAATTTGTAAGCTTCCATTTCCTTTTCTAACGCACTTGTTCTCTGTTGAAAGGAATTCAGAGCATTCTGTAACTCCTCCATCTTGGAATTGGTATCCTCCGCCGTTGCCTCGGCATTTTTTCTCAGGTTTATCTCGTTCATGTACTTCTCAGTTATCTCTACGACTTTTTTGTCATTGTTGTCCACAGCATTTTGCAGCTCTACGATTTTGCTTTGAAGACTTTCTTTGTATTTTCTTATTAACTCATCGCCAGCACAGTCATTTAAATCTGTAATGATCTCCATAAAATCTTCTAGTTCAGAATCGTTAAGAACAAGCAAGTTGTGCTATGTAATCGCAGCCGGATCTAGGCTTTCCTTCTTCTTTCCGCAGCTCGCGTTATTTGTAGTAGTAAACAGACAGGCAGCGCGCGCACTTCACAAATGGCAACAGACAACATTTTCAAAAGCGCGCGCATTTTCAAGCGCGCGCAGGTTCGGAGAAAAAAAGAAATTTTTGGAGTTCCAAATTTCCTCTGTTCCTTACCTGGTTCCTTACAGACTCATTTACACTTGGGCAGTCTCGAATCAGCGTCAAAAGATTCACAAATACCAACGGTAAAGTAAAGGATGCACAACTGTTGCCCATCTCTTATTTATACATCATTTTCTTCTTTAAAGGCATGCATTGTTGTTTTTCTTTCTTTCTTTTTTTTTTCATGAGGGATGAGGGATACAGGCAGAACCACAAGAGCATAGAGTAACGGCAAGTAACGTTCAATCAGAAAAGATGCAGAACAGTCACCTACAGGGCTCCATCTTCGTTAGAGCATGCAGAATGTGGAATACTCTACAAGAACATCTACTAGTTAAGAACGTATCTTTGACTGCCTACAAAAAATCTCTCCTGGTGGAGTCCTACCACCATGCCCTGCACCGCGTGTATGACCAGGACGATCCTCGAACATGGAAGTCCATCTGTTCGAAATGCAGCACTGCTCGTGGCTTGCAGAGCACCTCCATCCGGCTGCTACTGACTTTTTTCTCATATAAGGAAGGATAGAACAAACAAAAAACAAAAACAAAACAATAAATAAATAAAATAAAAACAAACAAACAAACAAACAAAACAAAAAACACACGAAAGAATAGCCTGCAAAACAGGCGTTCTTGTGCATGGGTTTGGGGAAAAACCGGGGTTTTGGGGGAACTTTGGAACGAGCGAGAATTGTAACCATTTTTCTCGCGGGCCCTTGGTATACGTCGAAACAGGAACCCCAAAACCCCGATTCTTCCTCTCAAATCCATCAAAAGAACGCCTGCTCTGCAGGCTAACGAATGAAAAAAAAAACTTTTTTTATAACTTATTTTACATAAATGTAAATATATATGCAAGGTACCACACTGTAATTGATGACACATGCTATAGTGGATTCCCAGCAATTATGTATGTGTATATTTATATATAACGTGTGTGTGTGTGTGTTTGTGTGTGGGTGTTTAATTGGCGAAGCTAAATAAATAAATAAATGAACTTCAACAATACAACCACTTTGAAATTTCACGGACCTTCACTGGAAAACACATGAATATTCTGCACAAAATCGAGTCTCAACCTGAGCAACAGAGAAATCGAAACTGGAGTATTTGAATGCCAAACTTATATTAGTAGTTTCTTTAAAACCCATAATATGCTATCATATACACAGCCCCTTTGCAAGCGTCTAAATCTTTCATTTTTAAAAAATTCTTAGAATTTGCTCTGATTTTTAACTACGCTCAGGTTAGATGGGTTCAGTAACCAGGCGATCAGGAAACGAAGTAATATTTCAAAGCCTCCAATGAGGACTGGACGGGATTTCAAGTCCAAGCAATCAGTTCCAACTAATTCAATTGGAACTAATTGCGCGGACTTGAAATCCCGTCCAGTCCGATATAGGAGGCTTTGAAATGACTTCTCATGCTCATAAATTATTCGACTTGGAGTAGCTGGAACAAAATTAATTCAGTGCTAGGACTAAAGTAACTGCAACAAAATTAATTCAGTCCTAGGACTAAAGTAGTTGGAACAAAATTATTTCAGTCCTAGGACTAAAGTAGCTGGAACAAAATTAATTCAGTCCTAGGACTAAATTAATTTTGTTCCAGTTACTACAGAATCTTTTCTTAGTTTCCAGTAGCATCACGTGGTCCAAATACAACATTGGAATTGGCTCCTGTCCTGATGAATAATTAATGAGTATGAGAAGAGGCAAGCATGTCTTTTCAATGCCCGGCTTTGCTTCGTCTTCAAGGCTGGCTCTCACATCAGAAGACTAGCTGAATAATTAACAACTTGGATTTCAATCTTAAATGTTTTATTTACTCTATACATTCATATATGATTCTATTTTGGTGCGCGCAACTTGCGTCGTATGGCATTTTATAAATCTACCACTCACAGTTCTCTACAAAGCGTTTTGTTCATTAGGAATCTGTGATATCCGAGAGCATAAAATCATTGTACATTCATAAAACTGATCGTGGCTGATCTACAACGTATCATATAATTTCATACTATTTTCATCCTATCAAATGTAATCCTAAATGTTCGATGTAAAAACACGTCTTCAGTTTCGGCACGTAAAACATTCGTCGATGGTAAGGCGTTACATATTTTAGTCTCTTGCTCACTTTTCTATGGCAAAGCATTTTGTCTATTAGGAATCTCAGTGACCATAAAATCATTGCACATTTATAAAACTATGTGACCAACCTTCATCTTTTTATACTATTTTTTGCGTCACACATGTATACTTTTAAAAACGTCTGATGCAAGGTTTAGTAACAATAATTGTACTCTATTTGTATATTATTTATTTAGTCACCGGATTGACATTCCTGTTGAATTACTAGTGGGCATCTTCCACTTTTCGCTTCCATTCTTTCAAACACGTTGGCCGGAAAAGCCTCCCAGACCAGCATAGAACATTTAGACATTAATTCCGTTTCATTTCCTATTGGATGATAGAATGTAGATCTTGATCCCGTGCTTCGTCGCCTGCTTCTAGTAGACTCCTCTTTTGTGGCCATGAAGGATAACTCGTCCGGGACTTCTCTGAGTCTTTCAAGGGTAAGTGGGCAGACCACAGGGTTGCTTGTTCCGAACCCCTCAGCCCGAACGCTTTTTCCAGTACTGATTACAAAGCATTGTTCTGTTCCACAAGGACCTGGACCAATACAGTAAGAAAGCGTACGAACCTCTCCAAAGGGATGAAACCACGTTAAAAGCTTTAGATCCTCCGAGCTGAAGATTAAAATGTATCCTCCAGCTGTCCCCAGCCAGATTGTGTCCATCACAGGAAGAATGCACACAATACAAGTATCACTCTCCTGTAGCACAGAACTATTGCTGATAGCCTGGATCACAGGAGCGCAGTCCATCGTGGTAAGAGTCCGTCTCTTTTCCACACACCATTTTGTCAACACAGATCTACAAGTGCTCCATACACTTTGTTTATCAAAGGATGAAGTCAGATGGGAGACTTGAGTTTGAGGTTTCATCTCCATCCCCAAGGGACCCCCATACCACATTGATTCCATGTCAAACGCTTCCATCTCGGCAGTCTTCGTGAAGTAGGTAAATATGTATTTGCTGGATGAAATCCAGAGCTTCTCGATAGTGGCAATCATGGAGAGAACGCAATGCCGTTCAACTTTGATCATGCGGTCGTTTCGTTTCCTCTCGGGCTTTTTGAAGTCTTTCTTGCAAATGCACCGAACATAGCCCTCGTTCATCCCTACGTAAACATATGAGTCGTCAGAGGCAATACAAGTGGCCTGCTCATTCAACAGAATGCTCCAGACAAGCTTGTAGCGAGGAGATGTGGAATAAGCATTAAGGACGTTCACGTCTAAACCTCTGAAAGCAATTAGCATCAGATCACCGACGTGGTGCAAAGCCTGGACTTGGTGCAAAGCATGGTCTTGATAACTGCTTACAGAGAAAGTATGCTTCAAATCCAAGTTATTACAGTCGAATATGAGGATCTTGTTCAATTTATGGTCATAACACCCAAGCCATAACTCCTTGGTGTCGGGTACAACACACGCATGACGCACAGACTGTGGAGAAGGAATAGGTTGTTTACCAAGAAGCGCTTGGAAGGGAGGCATACGTACTTGCTGAGCAATTTGTTCAGCTCTTGGTCTCCTTGTTGGTTTGCTCACCCAACACTGAAGCATAAGCTCCGTCAGGCTTGGAAATCCATATCTTGTTAATTTCGAGTCTTTCCATTTTGGTCTCTCTCCTCTCGTGACCGCTGCATTCACAGAAGCCTCCGAGTCAATCTCGAGGAAAGGTTGTTTTCGGAGTACCATCTGATACAACAGAATTGCATAGGAATACACATCTACTTGCATAGTGTATCCTTCCTTTCTTAGGTCAAGCATTTCTGGTGCTTTTGTACCAAGTGAGCCTTTGCAAGAAATCAGACCAGTGGACGTTGCAAAATTAGCAGTTCCAAAGTCGATCAACTTAACATGAAGATCATCCCTTTCATCTAAAGACCAAACGAGAACGTTTTCGGGCTTCAAATCTCGGTAGATGACACCCAGTGAGTGTAAGTACGAGATGGCATCTGCGACCTGATAAGCAACTCGGTACAAGACAATCCTATGTATGACCAACGAGCTGAACAGAGACTCTTGTAGACTACCTTTCTCAGCAAGTTCCAGAACCAAGCATAAAGGTCTGAGACAAACACCGACGATACTGATGAGATATGGATGCTGTCTGACTCGGCGGAGAACATTCAACTCCTTTCTTGCCTCAAAGTAATGCTTCAAGGGATCTGTCTCGTCGTTTTGAATGAAGAATTTAATGGCGACCAACTGGTTGCGGCATTTTCCTCGAACCACTTTTCCAAACCCACCTTTACCCAAGAGATTGGACTCACTTTCATTATACATTATTTCTCCTTCAGACAGCAATAAGTCAGGATCGACATCTTGTAGCATTATATCTGGGCACACAAGATGGAGGTTGAGGTCCCATCTGCTGTGATTTGGACATGGGATGGTGTCTGACTTTGAGCTCTGTCTTTGGCACTCGACGAAAGAGAAGTCATAGGGCTTAAAGCCTAGTCTTTCACAGATTACACATGGAATAAACTGTCTCACTTTAGGTCCAACGCCATCACTTACAGAAAGATCCGGATACCATTCCCGAGTCAGGGTATCTATGTGGTCTACGATGTAGTTAAGGACTCTTCTGCCCACACGGCTTGGACTGACTTCTGTTTCAATTAATGCTCGACCTTTTTCATTTGGATCAGGCTTGGTTGATATGGAAAAGAAGAGTTTTGGGTGATGTAGACATATCCCCGTGCGCCAGCAATGAAGGAATTTATTGTCTATAAGTGTACTCAGATCAGTAGGAACGTCCGGTATCTGGTCAAAAGGAAAGTCACTGTGTAATGGACAGTCATCGCTGTGAACAAGGTCTTGAAAAATATGGGAACCCCTCGATTGTCTCTTTATCTCATGACCTTGCTTAACAAGTAGCTCGTCTTTCTTGGGGTTGATTGGTTGAGACGATTTCAAAGCGTCTTCTTTCTCATCGAACGAAGATTCTGGCATTTCAGAAGATTCAGTTTTCTCAACCAGATCTACTCGACCCTCGACATCATTTGAAGGTGTCGTCACGATGTTATCGCTGACTTCTGCGTCATATTCAAATTGATGATTTTCTGGATGCGATCGTGGAGTTTCACCACTTTTTGCAGTGTTTTCAATATTCAGATATCGTTCAATGCTCGGCAAGAGTGGATTTGATGATGTGATATCAACGTTTGAAACGTTGGAAGAACGTTTCTGGTGATTCTCCTCTTGACGAAATGGTTGGGTTTTGATAGGCAAGGAGCTTTCTTTAAACTTTTTAGACGTATCATGATCATTGTTAACTGCTTCAATGTCTTGATGGACACCTGTCGAAGGATGGATGTGGTCGGAAAGATCTCCATTTGCAGCAACATGATAATTGACATCATTTGAGATGCTTGACTGATCTTCTTGTTTGAAAGCATCTGAAGAAATACTGCCATGCAAGGAATCGCTGTTTTCAAAGGATCCAGTCGGGCCATCAGTGTCAGGCAAAGAAGTTTCATCATACGAAAGATTTGACTGGGGTTTTCCGTTTGATGATTGACTTGAAAGACTCGAACCAGACGACGATGAGGTTTGAGTAGGAACATCACGTGACTGGCCTGGATCTTCTGATGTCTCACTTGCTTGGTTCCCCTCCTCAAATGAACCAATCCCGCCATTCGTGCTACTCAGAGACCTCTCCCCAAAGGAAGGACTTGATTGAACCCCTTGTTCACTATCACTTTTGTTTTCGAAGAAATCACCAGGGAAGGACGATGGAAGAGAATTTGATTTCGAAGGAGGAGGGGATACAATGCGGCTACCGCTTTTGAGAGCAGCCTCGTTGAAGCTTTGAGAAAGAGGATCTTGTGAGTTCTTGTCTGATCGTTTGCTTTTCTTGTGATGTGCACTTCCTTTTATCACGTTCCGTCCAGAAGCTGAATCCTTACACCGGATGATTCTCGGAGTATAGTGATCACTCTGTGAGCCGTAACCGTAGCTAGAACACTCATCTTCATCGGTGCTGTAGTCAACATCAGAATCACTTCTGCTGCCCGAAGCAGCATTCCCAAACCACTGCCCATTAATCCAGACTCCATTGTGCTGCTGCTCGCTGTCTCCATTGATGTAGACACCACGCAAAGCAAACTCATCCGCATCGTTGTCCATCTCGTCGACCATTTCTTCGTCATCGTCGCTGATAGAAACACCTTCCTGGGAGACCGGAGTAGCCAACAAATCACCATTCTTTGTGTGAAGAGGACACTTGCAGCAACTTTTATCTACGATAAAACGACTGTGGTTCTCCAGCCCTAATGGACTGCCAAGCCTGCCAAGTCCAGACGCTAGCATATCTTCTGTGTAATACAAAAATCGTGCTATAAATCTGTCCCAAAATCCATAAGGAATGAACGGAAGAGAATGTTTACGCTTTATAGTGACAAATAGCAGAGAGATGTCGACTATCTTCTCGGGTTTTTCTTCAGGGAGTTTTGATGGCACAAGAAGCCGGTTTTCATCCAGTGAGCATGCGATCTGGAAGCGGTTTAACAGGCGCACGAATTGCGGGTAGTTATCGTAAGGGAATCTTTCGTCTTTGAAGATGAACTGAAATTTGTCGCGGTGGAGTATACCGTTCTCAATGTGGGGATTGGCCTGTTTGAGGGTGACAACACGAGCCATAAGATCACACAGCCAGGAAGGATCGAGGAAGAAATAGTCTTGAAGGTCTTGGTTAGGGTCATTATAATGCATAATAATACCTGTCAGATAAAACAACATCAGTATTCCTTTTATAATCAATGAGCATGGACTCAAAGCATTTTTCCTACCTCTCTCGTTTAAGAAGTTAGTTACATCTTTGATATCGTTAGGATCCTCTACGTCATCGGAGTCTCTTCTAACTGTGTCTGTGACAAGAGCCTCGAAGGCTTCTCGATGAATGATGGGTAACCTGTTCATTGTCTTGAGTTCGTCTCTCTTGTTTTGGACAAGCTCTTCCACCAGAAAGTAACTGTGAGGTATCAGCTCTCCCATCACAGATACCTGAACACAATAGAAAAAGCCATCGTGATTATTTTTAATAAAACAGGCAAAACTCCATGACTAACCGGTAGAGCCAGTCATCTATCAATACGTTTTCTTCCGTGAAATTCATCTTTCCGTTTGTCTGTTCGGCCACACATCATAATAATCTTTATTGCCATTTCCATATTTTAAAATATTTACATGTATATATATATATATATATTAGTGCATTTTTTCTTTCTGATTTAGTTTTATTTTGCATTATATCTTAAGGGGAAAAAATGCTTTACATTCAAGGAAATGACTAAAGGCTAAAGGAACCGTAAGGTTTTCAAAGTTAGACCCTAGGCAATTAAGTTACAATCTTATTCAGTAGCTTCAGACAGTAACACACACACACACACAAATAGCAGCAGAAAAGCGGTCACAAATGTGAACGGCAAAGCGACAAGACATAACAAGAACGAGAAATAAAGAGGAAGACGAATATTGAAAGTGAAATGATTTAGTTTTTTCCACAGAATGAATTTTGTTTGGTTAAAAGATATTGTTTGACCCTTTTTTTGAAACAGTCTGTAGACATTTGTTTGAATTCAGGGGGTAGATCCTGCAAAAAAATCGTTGCTATTGAAAGAAAAGTTTGTCTGCCGGTGTTAGTACGAAAAAAAGGCTTATGGAAATTATCTTTTGAAGCGTAACGTGTATTGTATTTGTGTATATTTTTTGCATACTGAAAAGAATGTTTGAAAATAGTTGGGAGTTTTTGATTGTGCCAATAAAAGGTAAGTTTTAAGACCTGTAGTTTGTAAATATTTTCAACTGTTAAGACATGGTCTGCACGCCCGTCCGTCCATGCACCGACAACCCAGTCACTCATCAATCTATCAACCTATTTAGGCCCGATCCATACGTCGCGCTTTCATGTGCCGAACCTAATAGTATCTATTTGGCACATGAAAGGCTCGACGTATGAATCAATTAAGTTCGGCACGACTGGATTAGGTTCGACACGTTACTGAGCTCGACCGCGCCAGTCGAGCCGCACGGCAAAAGTTCGACACTGATTCAAACGTCGAGCTCCTGTTGTGCCGAACCAAATGCGTACATTAAAATTAGGTGAGCTCGGACCTAAAAAGCAGCGGTATTTGGTAATGAGTATGCGCGATACGGTCTTGGGAGATCCAAGATGGCGGCGGATATGTGCACCACCCGGCATTTCTTGAGAGGCGGCGACACGATCTCGCAGCGGTCCCCGAAGTGTAAACACCATTTTGTAAGGAAAGAAGCAACAGCATTACAGCGAAACTGACTATATGTCTTCTTCTGCTAACAAGTAACAGCATAGACTGCCGTAATATTTTGCCTTCTTGCCCTTGCATGTCGAATAGCACGGAGTTGATCGTCCGCCATGTTTGTTTTCATTTGAATTGTTTCAATTTACCGTAATTCCGCTGACTGATTTTACCGCTTACTCATGCTCAGAGTATTATTTGGCTCAACACATTAGGTGCGACGTATGAATCAACGTCGATCCTATTGTAATTGTGTCGACCAAAATAGGATATTAGGCTCGGCACATGAAAGCGCGACGTATGGATCGGGCCTCATCCATCCTTTTGCCTACCTGACTTCATCCATCCACACGACCCTCTATCTTCCAAGCATTACTCCCACGTTAACCCATCCATCGTCCGCTCTTCGATCGCCTAAGCTACGCAAGGTACAATGTACAATGATATTGATCCCGACTTACCGTTTGGGGGCCATCGGTTTTCAGCATTGAACAAGCTGCATCATAAACAGTGATCCTTAAGTCATCGATACCTGTAACAGGCAATAGTAATAAGCAAAAGATAAGGGCTAGTCATTTTTCAAGGCATTGGGGGTGGGGGGGGGGGGTAGGATTTTGTGAATTGTAACCATCTTGACTGACAAATTTGAAAGGATATACGACGTTAATGCAAATTCGAGTGATTATCTGAGGTTTCCAATAACACGATGATGACAATGACAACATTGCCGATTCTACTCCTGGGGTAAATGAAGCTCGCATCAGTGCTGGTGGTTTTGCTGCTGCTGTTGTTGGGGTGAATAATTGTTGTTTTTATAAAGTAGCGGTGGTGGTAATGGTGCTGTTGGTATCGTCGTCGTAGTTGTTTTTAGGAATAATAAGAATAAAGATTGTTGTTGTGGTTAATCGTTATTTTTATAAAGTAGCGGTGGTGGTAATGGTACTGTTGGTATTGTCGTCGTCGTCTTAGTTGTTTTTAGGAATAATAAAAATAAAGATTGTTGTTGTGGTTAATCGTTGTTTTTATAAAGTAGCGGTGGTGGTAATGGTACTGTAGGTATCGTCGTCGTAGTTGGTTTTTGGAATAATAAAAATAAAGATTGCTGTTGTGGTTAATCGTTGTTTTTATAAAGTAGCGGTGGTGGTAATGGTGCTGTTGGTATCGTCGTCCTCGTGTTTTTTTTGTTTTTTTTGTTTTTGTTTTTTGTTTTGAATTATAAAAATAAAGAAAATATTATCATGCAACATTGATACCTTCTCTTGAATCCACTGCACAGCTAACCTCCTTTATGGCCTTGAAATCAATATTCGCGTACTTGGGCTGATTCTGCAGTTGTTCCACCAACGCGTGCATCCTACGGACATAGCCCTCGTCATACTTCACTCTGTCTTTTCGAATCTTATCCAAATGCGTCCCCACGATAATAAACGATGAACAACGAGGAGCCCGAGCGGATATGGTGTCCAGCCAGCCTTCCAGCTTGGCTATACCTTCTTCGCCTTCTTCTAGATTCCACACAAGGATATAAAGTGAGAGAGTAGACAAGAAGCACTGATGAGTCGCATAATAGTCTTCCTGGCCACCAAAATCCCAGACTTTAAAGATGTACTCTTTGTGGAACAGATCCTTCCTCAGACGAAATTCTTCCATTGAAATTCCTAGAAAATAAATAGTACTAATTTACTAGCTAGTTTATGACTTGGAATTGAAATTAGATTCTCATGAACTCATGTTCTCTTGGTGGCGATTGAGATGGTGATGATGATGATGATGATGATTTTGATCATGGCGATAATGATCTTGATTGGATGATGATGGTGGTGGTGATGATGAGCTATGATAATAACGATGACAGTGATGCTAGGGCAGATGAGGCTGATCATGATAATCAAGATGCTGATGCTGTTTCTCTAAYATTATATTGATGACAATGACAATGCTGGTGGTTGATGATCGTCATCGTGCCTCAATTATGGTTAAACAAAGAGCAATCCCGCTCATGATAACACGCAGCCAAGATCCTTTTTTCCTTCAAGTCAACAACATCTGCACATTTTATCGATATCCTCTAGGGTAAACAACAACATAACCACTAGGCTGATCTAAATCAGAAAGATCAGGCTGATCAAACTTGGAATTTAGCGTGTTAGGTTTTCAGTGCAGAGGGAGGAAAACTAGAGAACTTGGAGAAAAACCCTCGAATCAAGGAGGAGACCTAACAAAATAGTGCTCACATTTGATGCACAATTTGTCCACAATTCGAGCCTGAAGCCCTAGAGTTAAGAGGCGAATGCTCTATCATCCTTGCATATTGCCAAATTTGATCCCAACATATCTTACCGTTAGTACAGCTGTTAAGGTTGTAATTGTAGTCAAGCATCAAACGATGCATTAGGGTGGTTTTCCCCTGGGCAGCCCGACCAACCAACATCAACTTCATAGAATAATATCCTTTAGATGAACGTAGTTTGGCACGTAAATACATGATTGTCTTGGTACCGTTCTTCTTGATCTCGTCTGGGGGATCAGTTACCTTCAAAAGAGGTTACAAAATGGGAATGTTACTTTTTTTCACGTCATTTTTATCTTAATTGGGCTCCCTGTGGCTAAAACAATGGGAGCTCCGCCTAAATTTATATTAATATGGGAGTGTTAAGCCGGTGCTTCTCATTTCCCATGCATTCGTCACCCAATAGATCTCTTCAGGTTTAACGGTCGTGCATGAGAAGACAAATGAATACGGCTACAACTCAAACAACGAATCTTAATCTCAAGGATATGACACGTGGTGAAATGGGGAAATTACGCCTAAGGTAAAGAGATCTATATGACAAGATTTCAAACGTTAACCAAACTTATCACTTCACTGCGTTTTATTTCCAATGACAACAAGCTTTTGATAAATAACAAAGTTGGTCACCAAGTACAGGAGCAGATCCAGTAATCTTTTAGGGGTGTACCAAATGAAGAAATGTATATAGAGATAATATGCATCGTAAATTTTTCTTTTGCATCAAAAAAGCGTGAGTAATAGCGGCGTTGTGGGGGGTGCAGCACAGGACACCCCCCTTGATCCACCCCTGAAAACGACTTGACACACTAGTTCCATTCAGCTCACCTGATCAAGGTTTTCCAGTTTCAGAGAATAAATATCAGTCAATCGACCCATTTCTTTGGGCAGTTCTCTTAGATTCCTATTCCCAGACAAGTCTAACTTTCCAAGGGTTAAAATCTTGCAAACACAGGCAGGAACATCATAAAAGTTATTTCTTGCAATAGACAGAGTTCTGAGTTTTGCTCTGCCCATATTCTCTGGCAAAGAGTCCAAAAAATTATCACTTAGATCGAGAGTGTTCAGAGACGGTGACCAATGGCACTTTTTTGGAAGCTCTGTCAACTTGTTTTTCGACAAGTTCAAAGTTCTTAAACAATTCATTTTTAGCAGGCCGCTTGGTATTCGATGCAGCTGGTTGTTTTGAAGATCAAGCCTACAAAGCCTGTGTAAGTCTATGATATTACTGGGTATGGTTGAAAGCATATTGTGGAGTAAGAAAAGCTTTTCTGCCCATCTAATGTCTTTGAACCATGAAGGATCAATCTCGTGTAAACCCAGTTTTCTCCAATCTATTTGTTTGGTGTTCTTGTCGCAGTTGGTGCAGAGAAGAAGAATCCTTGTGGCATTTTTGTGCTTTTTGTGAGTTGCTATCTTTATGGGGACAGCAACATTGAATATTTCTTTGTCCTTTAGGTAGCTCCTATGAAAAAAAAACAATAATATCATCTGTTTTGAAGATTCTGATATTTGCTATATCAATAATTGAAAGTGAGTTATTTACTCAGCAAGTCTTTGAATTGGGAAGCTTTATAAGTGCAATAACGTGGGGTGAATCAGGATGGAAGCCATTCAAATGCAATACTTACCTGATGTCATTAGTGTGCGGATGACTAGAATGTGGAAGCTGTACAGGTGCAATAACGTGGGGTGAATCAGGATGGAAGCCATTCAAATGCAATACTTACCTGATGTCATTAATGTGGGGATGACTGGAATGGGGAAGCTGTACTAAGTGCAGTAACTTTGGGTAAATAAGGATGGAAGCCATTCAAATGCAATACTTGCCTAATGGAATTAATGTGGGAATGACACATCTTTAAATGGGGAAGCTGTATTACAGTGTAAGTGCAGTATCTTGTGGTGAATCAGGATGGAAGCCATTCAAATGCAATACTTACCCGATGTCATTAGTGTGTGGATGACTAGAATGGGGAAGCTGTACAGGTGCAGTATCTTGGGGTAAATAAGGATGGAAGCCATTCAAATGCAATACTTACCTGATGTAATTAACGTGGGGATGACACATCTTTAAATGGGGAAGCTGTACTACAGTGTAAGTGCAGTAACTTGGGGTAAATAAGGATGGAAGCCATTCAAATGCTGCAATACTTACCTGATGTAATTAATGTGGGGATGACACATCTTTGAATGGGGAAGCTGTAAAAGTGAAGCATCTTTTTGTTGTTGTGTTTGTGGAATATCTAACAGATACCCTAGCATCTCAATATAGCCTTTTTGTGCTGCAAAACAAACTAGCAACACAGACAATGCCTACAATAAAAAAATAAATAACATAAATATGTATGCATGTATGTATACAAAATGAGTCTGTAATCAAGAAACACAGCAGTAATTTGGAATTCAAAACGGGTCTATTAGGGAATCAAAAATTTGCTACAGCTTTCATAGTAAATGTGCTTAGCTCACTTTTCTAGGGCCTAGGGTTCGATTCCTGTACTTTGAAAATCACATTTTAGTAGAGTTTGTTGTATCTCCCCTATGGATTTGAGGGTTTTTTCTCCATGCATGTTCCCCAATTTTTCTTCCCTCAAACATTCTAAATCCCAATTTGAGATGTGAGTTAGCTGTATCCCAACTCAGATCAGTCCAGAGGTTGTTTGGAGAAAACTTGAGAAATCTTTGAAGGAACTTGGAGAAAATATTTGGAGAAATCTGAATAAGTTAAGAACTGCTTTAAAATACCTGTACATAGTTGAATCTTAATGTAATCTGGATGCAGTCGTTGAGTTTAAGAGTCTCTTTGTCATCAGCCAAGATAATATAATTGATTGCATTAACATGACCTCTTTGACAAGCGATTTCAAGGGCTTCTTGTAGACATGTTGGAGAGATGTCCTCTGGTTTGAGGTTTCTTACTGTTTCTTTTAACCTTGGGTCATTATCTTTGGCCATCTTTTTGATTTCTGTTGAGCATTTAAGAAGATCATAAGTCATGTTTATTCAATGTTATAATAAGTCACTTATTACAAGTGATAACTAGCTAAAAACTAGTGTGAGCTGCGTTGGTGTTTCTAATGAAACAGTAATGATAAAAAGGTAAATTATGCACTGTGAAAAGACGAAAAAACGTTTCGGATGCTAGTCCTTCGTCGACGGTCTTTTCACGGTGTATAATTTACCTTTTTATCATTACTGTTAATATACATTACTATTTGACAGAATTACATTGAGCTGTTGTACTTCCATGCCCTTCATATGACAAGAAAAATGGATTTAGAAAATATAATCCCCTAATTAAGCTACATTATAATCCCTAACGAAGGCAAGAGCAAAATGTTTTCCTCACTTTAATCCTTTTACTAAAAGCCTCTTTCCTTTTACATTTGACAGCATAATCTCTACCTTTATCCCAAAATTTAACCTGTCATTTACAAGCTCCAAATTTGGAGAATGGAATAATCTTCAAGGTTATGACACATGAATGTGCTATCTTGAGATGGGGAAAATAATAGCCCAAAGCTGCAAATATTTTTTTCTATAAGGCTGTCATATGTCAGATCAGGCAGATTGACCTGACATGCAGCCTTTAGTGAGTCTGGTTGGACGAAAGGTTCTTTCAAATACTACAAACCTAGAAAAATACAATGTACCCACTGCAATATTCTGTCAGGTGAAAATCGCTGAAACAAAATAAAAGCTGCTATGTGTCACACTGTTACTGTCCCACCACTGATTAGATTCACTTTTCACTCTTATTTCTGACCCTGGCATAATATGCTTGAAAGTTTATAATCTCGAGTGAACATATCTTTTTTAAATCTAGAGTGAACATAATTTTTTATATTCCACGTCCTAACAGAAGAATCGGTCTGCATCTCCAGCTAGATTGAACGTTCACTCTAGTCAAAACCACTAATTTACCGTAAAAATGTCCAATGTCCGGTGCTAAGTTGCATGCTTATAGTTTGAAAAGGACATTACTAATTTATTATCATTACATTATTAATAAAACGATAAAATTGATAAGCCCAAAAATAGTTTTTACTAAGAAAATTAATAGACTGCAATAATTGCTAAAGATCTTAAATTACCTGCACTTTTAAGGAGTTGTGCAGTATGTCTACATCTATGGATGACGGCAGTCTCGTAAGGAGTTTTCCGAAACTCATCCTGACTTTCAATATTAGCCCCATGTTTGATCAATTCCTCGACACACTCCACATTATCCATGGATGCAGCCATGTGCAGGCAAGTGTAGAAGCCATTAGCTGTAGTGTTAGGATTTGCTCCATACAACAGTAGCAATCGAACCACAGATACATGTCCTCCATGCGTTGCTTCATGCAGAGGCGTGTAACCAAGGAAACCAACTCGTTCTTCTAATTGGTTTGCACTGCTCAAGGATTCTTTTAGGTACTTAGTAATTTCCTTTACTGCACCTCGGCTACAAAGGTTGTGTAAATACCCAGTGTTTGAGTTCTTTGTTACACTCATGATTCTGGAGGGAAAAAAACCAGAAATAATCAAAATGAATAAAATACTAGTCCACTTCAAGTCATTTGGTTTTCAAGCATTCTCAAAAATGATTATCTCAAATAAGCCTTTTTCAAATAGACTTTTAAATAAAGAAAACCTCTTCAGTGTCAATCTTACTAAAAGCCAATCTCATAATGTCTGACTATGATAAAGAAAATATGATAGAAGTGGAAGAAATAATTGTTCATATCGACCTCGTAATTTTTTTAGTAAATCAATTTCCATAATCATTGCACCTGAAAAAAATTAAAGGACCAAATTGAAATTTAAAAAATCTTTGAATATCATAAATAAACACTTCTCTAAATGGCTTCTACTGCTTCTTCATGCAATCTTTGATTCTTATTTATTTTTATGAAGTGTGTTTTAAAAACCCTTTCTGATGTTACATGCATGTAAGCAGCTTCATTATTTTATAAGTTAGTACAATATTTTCCTAACATAATGAATCTTATTTTGTTTAGCATAGGTGTAAAATAATATTATTCATATATTTCTATATCTAATATTCATATTCTATTTTTTTGTTTGAATTCCATAAAGCTCAGGTCAATAAAGCACTTGACTGGCTTCCATTATGTCATATTTCAATTATTGCATTTTAGTGGCTTTTTGTTTTGTTATGCAAGAACGTGAACTACAGAAAGGCTTGCACTTTATTTTCATTTCTTGCATACGTATGCTAGACAGTATTATATTTATAACAATTTTTAACAATTTTTAAGCTTAAAATAGTTTTCCAAATGATTTATTTATTCATTAATACGTGCTATATATTTTGATGTCCTATCTTCATGTTATTTAGAAAAATAAAAGCTTTCAGTACAGTTTATATAATATTTACATTTTCATGACAAAATACTAGTTACCCTTTAATTAGTTTTCTGTTTATTTTCTGTATATAGACCCTGATATAAAATGTATTCATGCACACTCATTTTTTGTGATTAATTTCTTTAAAAAATATTAACACCTTAATGTTAGCTTTTCAGCTAATTTCAGCATACACTTATTAGTCATATTAATTTTGTAWATGCTCACATTAATATCAGCACTTGATTGGCTGCCTAGTATTTACTCGTTATATACCAATATAATATAATATCATACTCATGCATTCTCATAATAATGATGATAATGTTTATTTATATAGCGCTAAATCCACTAATTGCTCAAAGCGCTCACTAATAAAAATAATATATAATTAACTAAGCTAAATAAAAAATGAGATGTAAAAATATGTGAAACAAAACAATGAAAATTGTACTAATTGTAAAATTATAAATTAAAAGCTAACTTAAACAAATGTGTCTTCAGCGAATTTTTAAAAACAGACACAGATGGAGACTTTCGTATTTCTATCGGTAAATTGTTCCACAGTCTTGGTGCAGCAACAACAAAAGCATTGTCTCCATACGTTTTAAGATTGCTATTAGGTATAGATAAAAGTTCTTTGCTAATGGAACGTAATGATATAGAGTACTTCTGATAACTTAATAACTCAGATAAATAACATGGCAGAAGACCATTTAAACCCTTATATACAAGTAAAAGTAACTTAAAAGTAATTCTATATTGTACAGGCAACCAATGTAACTTAATTAAGGCTCATGCTCATGACTGTGTTAAAATTTTGGAATGGAAAACGTTTGGAATCATATTCATGCATTCTTACATTTTGTGTGATAAAATTTTGAATGGAATATCAACACTTGATTGGCTTCCCAGTATCTTCTAGTATTTTCTCATTATATACTACTGTTAATATAATACAATATCATATTCATGCATTCTCATGCTCGTGACTGTGTTAAAATTTTGGAATGGAAAACTTTTGGAATCATATTCATGCATTCTTATGTTTGTGTGATAAAATTTTGGAATAAATCATCAACATTTGTTTGGCTTCCCAGTATTTTCTCATCATACGCCAATATTATATTCATGAATTCTCATGTCTTTATGATAAATTTTGAATGGAATATCAACACTTGATTGGCTTCTCAGTATCTTTTAGTATTTTCTCATTATATACTAGTTAATATAATACAATATCATACTCATGTATTCTCATGCTCGTGTGTTAAAATTTTTGAATGGAAAAATTTTGGAATCATATTCATGCATTCTTATGTTTGTGTGATAAAATTTTGAATGGAATATCAACACTTGATTGGCTTCCCAGTATCTTCTAGTATTTTCTCATTATATACTAGTTAATATAATACAATATCATATTCATGCATTCTCATGCTCTTGACTGTGATAAAATTTTGGAATGGAAAAATTTTGGAATCATAATTATGCATTCTTATGTTTGTGTGATAAAATTTTGTATGCAATATCAACACTTGATTGGCTTCCCAGTATCTTCTCATCATACACCAATATTATACTCATGCATTCTCATGTTTGTTTGATTATGTTTTGGAATACAACATCAACATTTGTTTGGCTTCCCAGTATTTTCTCATCATACGCCAATATCATATTCATGGATTCTCATGTTTTCATCTTCAATTTTGAATGGAATATCAACACTTGATTGGCTTCCCAGTTCATTCTCACGTTTGTGTGATTATGTTTGGAATAAAACATCGACTTTTGATTGGCTTCCAGTTCATTATATAATATTCATCATATTCATGCATTATGCTCAATACATGCATTCTCATGTTTATGTGATGAAATTTTCGAATTAAATATCAACACTTATCCATTTCGTGTTTGTGTGATTAAGTTCAAAAGAATTTTGAAGACCTAAAATTCTTTTCCAGATCTTTTTCTGTGTGTAGGGATTTCACAAATTTTCATAATTTTCTAACGTAGATGATTTCTTTCATTTTTCATATTTACTATCGAGTGAACTGATGGTCAGTTAGAAAAGAATTCTAGATTATCAGCTCAGATAAAAAAACCCTAGCAGCAATAGATTTTGACTCCTAGTAAGAATACTCTACTGACCAGCAAGCTACTCAATGAATAAACACTTCCTTTGAAAATACAACTTACTATTATGTAAGGCCACAAGGGTGTCAAGAATCTTAGCTTTCAAAGTTAATAAGCCATGCGAAAGCGCCATTCAAATACCAGAAATATCGATAATTGAACTCGAATATTTAGAATTAGGATCATCAAAGGATTTAGATTCTCAAATGGTTATTTTACTCAATATATTTTTGGTTATAAATATAAATATACTGAGGTCAAAATAGGAAACATGAAAACCTAAAGACTCGCTGCGAGCTAGTTCAACTCTCGTCTAAGCTTAGAGACAAATCTTTCCTACTTAGTTGCAGGTAGGAGAGAAGATTAATAGAGGAATAAACGGAAAATTTATAAAACAACTTACCAAAATCCTTGCTCACTTTGCAGACAGGCTACATGTCAGCCACCAATCTTTTGATTCTTTGATCTTTGAATTACACAACGTTTGCAGTTTTGCTCGGCAAGAAGGAAACTAAATCCTTATTGCTTGACATTTCGATATTCTATTGAATTCAATACATGCACATCTTGTAWTTTTGGTTATGTCTTCTGACAAACGTAAAAGTCTTCTCTGCACTAGTAGGTACGGCGGCTGAAGTCTACGCGGTAATAATATCATCCCCAGGGAGTGGAGGGTAAAAAAATACTCGCAAACTCCTGGATTCAATAAATTTTCTTTCGATTGATTATTATCTTTTCATGCACCCAAAAATCCTATTCAAAGTTTACTTTGATAAAAGAACTGTTCTCATTTCTTGCTTTTAATTTCTAAATAAAAATTGCAATACAAATTTTTAACTCCCTCCCTCCCCTCCCCTATAAATACTTTTTGATAATATTTCTTCGAAATCACGTGAGAGACTTTAACCGGAAGTTCTTCGTGGAAACTTCGGAAACGTAACAAATAATGTCCTTGTTATATAGCTGTCAAGAAAATCATTAACAAAGGGTTCTCAAGTTCATTTTCTAGGATCGCCGGAAGAGGAATTTCGAGGTTACGTCACGAAAAGATTTAAAATAAATTCGTGAAAATCTTTCAGAACCCTCAGTCCTAAGCAGGTCAAGCAAAGGCAGCAGTAAGCACAGCTTGTCATGGGTTCTCTTATCCTCACTGGCTTTCATCTGTATTTGGTTTTCTGCATAGTCAACGCAAGGTTCCAGTTTAAAGAAGCCAAACCTTGTGATTCTACCAAGTGTCTGCCTCCTAAATGTCGTTGTAGCAATAACTTTGATCCTCCTGGAGGCCTTCAACGCAAAGACACTCCCCAAATTATTATAATTACTTTTGACGATGATATCAATACCGAGAATTACAAGCAGTATCTTGAAGCTTTTGATGGGTTAAAAAATCCTAATGGCTGCCCTGGTGTGGGTACTTTTTTCATTTGTCATAACTACACCAATTATTTTCTCGCCGAGACGATGTACTCCAAGGGACATGAACTAGCAGACCACACAGTTACTCATCAGGAACCCACAGATTATTGGATACATGGAAGTTATGAAATGTGGAAGAATGAAATCAATGGCGAGAGAGAAATTTTACACAGGTCAGTACTGATTTATTAAGGACAAAATAAAAGGGTGGGTGCAGTAAAGAGACCGGAAATAAATACAAGGTCAGTTAGCTACAAGCTGTGGAATGTCGTACGTTCGTCGCGCTCTGTTGGAGGTCGGCCTTTAGCTGTCCATTATAATTTTTTTTTTWTTTTTTAATTGTTTATTCATTCATAATCAAATACATATTTAAAATTACAATAGTTTTAAGTAATTTATAAATTGTTTTGATTATGAATTGGAGTCTAAATAAAAGTAAAAAAATGCTTATAGGGTATAGACTCCTTATATGAGGAACGTGTTTTTTTATCTCTGATTGCTTGCGCTAACATGCACCGCCAGCAAATACCGAGGTGATCAATTATGCTTACATTTATGAGAACGTGCGTTTTTTATTGGGTTGGGGGTCATATGTAATGACCAAGAGAAAATTTAAAAATTTAAAACTTATGTGAAAGGTCGACACGAACAAGCTGTTTCCTTTTTCACTTTTCTTTTTAGTTTCCTTTTTTCTCTGCTTCATTTGTTATTTCTTCCTTCCTGATTTTTAGCACCACAAATACGCCACTATATATGAAGTTTCACTATGACGTCACTGCTTGTTTATGTGGGGGATAGAATCGCCAAATCCAATAGAAAATTCAACAAAATTTGCTCCTAGCGAAACAGTTTAATCTAAAATGGCCTGGTTTTCAGATATAATATGTGTTAATATGTACTAAAAAATATTCTGAGCGTTTGCTTGCTATTCTACTTCTCTTCGTGGATTGATACGGGTTTTAGAAAAATTTTCGGTGAATTTGCGTTGATTTGACCCCCTCCGACGACCGTGATCCGTTGCGTTTAAACAATAGATTGTTTTGATGTGACGTCATAGTGAAATAGGGCAATTCAGCATCCAACGAATCTTACTGATTTCCCTTGAAATACAACCCTAGTTTGTCTGAGATTACTCCAGCTCCTTTGCTTAGTTCATTTTTCAATTAAAATAGATATGTGCACTGAACTAAAAAAAGATTGTTCTAACTCGGATTCAAATTAAATATATTCTTGGCTTTCACGTGACGTCACTGACCTATTTCGACCTATCCAAATATGGGCGTCCGCCATCTTTGTGCTCCTCCGAGTGTGAAATGTTGTGATAATAGTAGGCCATTTTTATAGTGTTTAGAGTTTTAGCTCGCTTCAGAGCCAAATAACGTCTCAAGACTTTGGAAAATGGCTGTGCCAGTGCTCTCGAAATATGGATCAGGTCTTGAAAGTCATGTAAAGGAACGTTATTTGAAGAAGATCGAGGCAGTAGGCGTTGATCCAGTCACCATACCAAGTGAGCAGTTTGATCCTGAATGTTTTGTTTAGTTACTTGGTTTTGCAG